AGTTCGGAGCAACGTGGCGCGGTCGCCAGCTTACAGCCACTACCCATTGTCTTACTACCACTGCGTTCAAGCATCAGTTTCTTGCCCCTATGTCGGCGGCGAGCGAGGGGGTGAAGTGAGAAGAAGAAGGCCTTCTCAGAAGGCGGCGGGGCTTCTCAAAAGGCCTTCAGCCTTCTGAGAGGTTTTCTGTGTCTTCGGGGAAGGCTTAGAAAACTTCTCGAAAGACTGGGGGACTTCCGAGCCTTCTGAGAAGGCCCGCCCCTTATCTTTTTCCTCCTGGGTTTGCCGCCGATTATGCCGCCATGAATATTGCTCCATAACGTCGCATAGCAATGCGTCCTCTTTTCGTCGGTCTCGCAGTGTCGGCGTTGACGTCCCCGGTGTCGCTTACTGGGAGGTGGGGAGGCGCGTGTCTGTACGTGCAAGGCGTCGAGCAGAATGGACACTGGCCTCATGTCGAGCCGAGCCCGAAGAATCCCAGTCCGCAAAAACCCAGCTCGAAGAAGCCCGACCCGAAGAAGCACGGCAAGCAGCAGCCCAGCTCCAAGAAACCCGGCGCCAAGCCGAAAGCACCCGGCCCGAAGGGGCCCAGGCCGAAGAAGCCCAGCCCAGAGCAGCAGGGCCCGGGGCCGAAGAGCCCCCGCCCGAAGAAGGTCGTGCCGAAGAGGCAGGCACACGAAGAGGTGGAGGTGGACCTGGGGGGAACGACGTCGAAGCTGCACGCTGCCGCCAGTGATGCAACGACGGGAGCAGAGCAGAGCGCGGGCTCGTCCTGCTCGGCCTCTGCGGCCGCGGCGGCGGCCGGCGTGCAGGGAGGCGCGGCTGCCGGGGAGGCTGCCGCAGGTGCCGGTGCCAAGCGGGAGGGTGCCGTCGTGAACATCGTGTTTGCCACAGTCTGGGACACGGATCTGGCAAAGGCCTTGGCATCGCTCGGGCGTGTGCATTTTTCTGGCCACGTGCAGAAGGGGGTAGGGGGAGGGGGGAAGGCTTCTTAGAAGCACGCCTGCTTCTTAGAAGGCGCGGGCCTTCTTTGTAGATGTAAGGCCGGCGCCTTCTAATAGGCAACCTCCTTCTAAGAAGCCTTCCCCCCTCCCCATACCCCCTTGTGCGCGCCGCCAATTTTTCCTCGGCGAGAACCAGCGAGGACCATCCTGGAGCATCGAGCAAAAAAAAAAACACGCACGAGACCGGAAAACGCACGGGAAATGGACGCCCGAGCGACGGCAAGAGGCAGTCGGCCCAATGAAAGCGCTTGCGAAGAAGGCAGGTGTAAAGGTGTGGCTATCGAGGTGCCTGCGGACCATCCCGCCGCCGCGCCCTCGTGCCCTCGGGGTCTCCGGTGCGTCTGCGGGGAGCCGTGCGGGAGTCTTGGGGCCGTCTTGGACAGGAGGGGTCCCCGACATCTGGCCCACCGCATGCTTTTCGGGCGGGCGGTAGAGGAGGAGGAGGAGGAGGAGGAGGAGGAGGAGGAGCGGTGACCCAAACGGGGGGTGAAGAAACAGGCCCTGAAGGCGCCCTGTCGGGCCCCTTCTGGGAGTCAGTGGGTGCCCCAAAGGGGCCCTATGGGGCGCCTCTGGGGCTCTTTTCTTCGCCCCTCGTTTGGGTCACCCCCCAGTACCGCCCGCCCGATCTTCGCGGGAGGAGGAGGAGGAGGAGGAGGAGGAGGAGGAGGAGGAGGAGGAGGAAAAGGAGGAGGAAGAGGGAGGAGGAGAGAGAGGAAGGAGGAGGAGAGAGGGGCAGGAAGGAGGAGGAAGGAGAGGAAGAGGAAGAGGGAGGAAGAGGAGAAAGGAGGAGGAAGAGGAAGGAGGATGAAGAGGAGGCTCTGCGGATGGTCCTGCGGCTGGAGGGGGAGGGGGAGGGGGAGGAAAAAAAAGGGGGAGGAGGAGGAGCAGGAGGAGGAGCATGAGGAGGGGGAGGAGGAGGAGGAGGAGGAGGGAGGAGGAGGAAGGGGAATGAGGAGGAGGAGGAGAGGGAAGAGGAGGAGGAGGAAGGAGGAGAAAGAGGAAGGAGGAGGAGGAGGAGGAGGTGGAGCAGGCTCTGCGGATGGTCCTGCGGCCGCGGCGGCCGGGCGGCCGGGAGCCGACGACGCTCGACCCCGTGCTCAGGCCACGGTGGCGGATTGTATCACAGAGACCTGGCTGGCGCTGGTCCGAAGTCGAAGGACCTCCGAGAGGCGGGAGTGAACTTGTTGCAGTTTATCGGGAACGCCGCTGGCGATTCACCGCCGCCCCGTGCCTCTCGAGCACTGCCCGTGTGGCCGAGCTTTGGACCAGAGTTTGGCCAAGTTGGTGGCTGTGTTCCCTTGGCCGTTGCAGAAACACCAGGCGGGGCGCATCGGTTGGCCAGTGTCTCTGGTTTTTGGCCTGAAGGGCCAGATTGGGGACGTTGGGACCCATCGAGCCCATCTTGTCATGGGAGACAGTCGGACTGAGGTATAAGGTCAATATCGGTTCGGGGAGGGTAGTTACCCTAGTGTCTCCGTGTTTGCTGAATGTTCTGT